TTCTATACAGATTAAAACAGCAAAATCGGTGTTTCAGGCCCACCAGTTGCTCCTCAGGTTATCTTGTCTTCTCCCATTAAGACGTACAGCCTTAGAATCCCTATCTAGGGTTGCTGTGAGTCGGCATTGACTTGATGGCGGCAATGAGTTTTGTTTGGATTTTTCTTTTTTAAATGCTGATTATCAAGGATCCCAGGTGGGGCTGTCAGGTAGGCATGGGACAACAAACCTCAAGATTGGTGGTTCAGTAACACCATCCCCCTCCTGTGGAGGATGATGAAGCTGTTTGCTCCCATAAATATTACAGTTTGGGAAACCGTCTCTGTGGTTGCTGAGAGTCAAAATAAATGCAGTGACAGCGGGTTTACGCTGATTTAACACCCTATTGAATTGGTTCAGAAATGATGGCCATGTGGGTAGTCAGGGGAGAGACTTGAGTTGGTGTTATGGAGATAGTGACTGTGACTCCTCATTTGTCATATTTCTCTCCAAGTGAATTGGGAACTGCCCCTGCACCACACCCTTCTCTCCTTTTTCTCTTCAGTGTCTTGGAATCACTTACTAGGAGTCTTTCCTTCCTGCATCCAAGGAGCCACCATGGCAGCTCACCTGATAAAGCGATGCACATGCCTCCTGAGAGAGGCCGCCCGGGTAGCCCCTGTTATGTCTCCAGTTGGCCGACTGCAACTCGCTGCGATGACCCAAAGGACTGTGACTTTCTCAGCTACCTCACCTAGTTCCTACTCCTCAGGTTCCTTGATTGAACTTGTCGAAAAGGAACCAGTGTTTACACCCTACCCAGAGCGCCAGGAGGTAGACCAGCTCATTGAAAAGGCCACCAGACCAGAGGAGCTACTAGAAATATCTAGTGCTGGCCACCACTTTCACCAGAACCATGCTGCCCTCATCCTTATCCAGTTCTCGCGCTTGCTGTCTAAGAAGCCAGAGTTCAAAGCCTCTTTGATTCAGGATGCCCGTTTTCAGCAACTTCTCCAACTTGCCAACAGTCAGGTGGGTTCTAGAGTGTCACCTGGGGACTGTTGACAAGAGGGAACCTTCTAGAGCAGTAGTTCTCAACCTGTGGGTCATGATCCCTTTGGGGGGGTCGAACGACCTTTGACAGGGCTTGGCCAGTTCATAACAGTAGCAAAATTACAGTTATGAAGTAGCAGTGAAAATAATTTTATGGTTGGGGGCTGACCACAACATGAAGAACTGTGTTAAAGGATCACGACATTAGGAAGGTTGAGAATCACTATTCTAGAGGCACTGGAGTCTGACGTACTATTCTCAGTAAATGTAAATGCTTATTTTATTAGAAGTTCCGTGGTGTCTTGTTTGCATTTTTTTAATTTATCATTTTGTGTATTTCAAAGTATTTTCATGTGTTCTCTTAATCCTCACAATAGCCTGTTAAACAAAATGTCTCTCTTATCTTACAGATAGGGGAACCGTAAACCACAGTGGAAGCAAATCTGACTTTTTCCGCTTCCCTTGCTTCTTTCTGACTCCCCATAGCTTATTTGGAGCACTGGTGGCATGGCGGTTACACGTCGGGCTGGGATCTAGCAGTTTGAAACCACTAGCTGCTCCTCAGAAGAAAGATGGGGCTTTCTGCTCCCATAAAGCGTTAGTCTTGGGAACGCACACAGGCAGTTCTGCCCTGTCCTAAGAGTCCTGTGAGCTGCCATCAACTTGGTGGCAGTGAGTTTGCCTTGGATACCTGATTTGGAGAGTAACATAAGGCCACATATTTGGGTTTGAAAACCTTCAAGCATATGTAAAGGTTTTTTTGGGCAGGGGTCAGGTGACCATGAGGATGCATATCTGGAGAAAGGTATTTGATAGGCTGGACTTGTACTGATCTTCCTCAAATGTTTAGTGAGGGCTGAGCATTATTCTCAAAGCTAGCACAGAGGTGAGGACACCCCTGACAGAAGAGTCCTGGGACTCAGCTGGGGAAGGGAGTTAAATGGCCATGATAAAATACATAAAGGATGACCTTGGAGAGGAAGGAGATGTAGCTGTCTAAGGGGGTGGGCTGGGAGACTGGGCAGAACTCGAATTTCTGAGAGGTCAGTTTCTGCCTAGTGTAAGTTTCTGCTCCATTCCTGCAGGTTCTTCCCCCGGGCTTTGTAGACTGTTGAAGGAGTCTTGTGTTGCACAAGACTGTTGTGCCATCAGTGACCCACATTCACAAGGTATTCGTTGGAAGAGAGTGTTGAGCCTTATGTCATCACAGGTGCTCAAGCATTGAAGCAAGATAGCTTTTCTTGGGGATGGTAAAAAAGGGAATTGAGGATCAAGGAGTTAGGTTATAGAATCCATAGAGGGACATGGTCGGGTTTTGCACTACCTTTTAAATAGTATGGAAAACATAATGTGATATTGAGATACGGTAAATTCAGTACTTTCCCCCTTCCTCTCCAACTCTTCAAGCACCTTTACTGTTTACAGCTCACTTTGTGTGTGGTGTTTCACTCCCTTGCAGCAGTTTCAGGTTACGGATAAAGCAGTCAGTACGGTGTTTGGCGGCGTTTCAGTGCCTCCAGGAGGGGTGGAGTTAGAGAGACTAACAGTATGATGGAGCCAGTGCTTGGGCTCAGGTACTCTGATTCAGACTGTGCCTATTTTACTGGGTGGGGCCTTTGTGTGGAGGTGGGTTGGGGGTCTCAGCCATAAGACACCTGATAGCTGTTGGCATCATGGGCCTGCATTTCTCTGAGGCCGGGATCACTAGGGGCAATGGGAGCTGTCTTGCAGAGGTGAAACTAAGTGCTCGTTTTGCACTGCCTGGATGCAAATTCTGTTTATGCCCTACCCAGACTTCAGCGAAATTAATCTTGCTAAATGTTTGCTTATATATATGTGAAGTGAGCAAGATGCACCTGCATAGATGTTGGTTTGTTTGATGTATAAAGGCTAAGAAGAATGCTTAGCATATATTAAAAGCCCATTTAGATGTAATTTTGAAGACCACAGCAGGCAGCTTGCTTATGCTTAGGATGGCTATGAAATTGTTAATAAGCAGGGCATTATTTTATTGGAAGCTCTTACAGATGTCATAACATTCCATAATTCAAATAGATCAACCATAGTTGTACAATTGCTACTATAATCTGTTCCAAAACATTTCTTTCTTCTTGAACTCTTTGAGATCAGCTCCCCTGAAACCCTTGTTATTGTTATTGTTGTTATATATTATTATTCTATATGTCTATTAGCCTTATCTCACCCTGTCCAATATATCCGTTCACCCACAATTCTGTTATTCCCTCCCCTCAAGTGGGTCATACAGTTGTCATTGCTATCAGCTGTCCCATTGTTGTATCTGAAGGGTCATCCATCTTGGCATTCCTGCATGGAGCATTTTTAATTATACATATGAACATAGGTAGGTCTAACAGTGTTAATGAGGTGAAACATAAGCCTTAATAGTAAGGAAGGAAAATATTAAAGAACCAGAGCATAGTTATGCTATACCGTACCCTCATCCACCCCCACCCCACCCTCCACTTTGTCCACACTCCTTCACGTCAATTTCATTGCTTGTTATTGAACTTCTGATAATCATTCCTGTCAACACCTCATGATCACCAGGCTGCTATGCTTCCATTTGGGCTTTGTTGCTTCCCTGCTGGTTGGCTGCTTGTTTGACTACAAGCCTTTAAGACCCCAGAAGCTATATCTTTTAATAGCCACGCACCATCAGCTTTCTTCACATTTGCTTATGCACCCTTTTTGTCTTAAGCAATTGTGTCAGGAAGGTGAGTATCATACAGTGCCACATTATTAGAACCGTTCTTATACTTAAGTGAGATTTTAGTAGAGGCCTACTGTCCATTTGCTTCCTTATTGTATTTACATATATGTACATGTTTAGACAAATACACCTACATTTGTATAATTATATATTTACATATTTATAGATTTCTATTTATACCTATATGCATAAATTTTTGCTTTCTTCTTTCCTCTTTCTCTTTTTTCTTTCCTCCTATCCCACCATCATGATTACCCATCGTTCACCTCTCAGTAATTCCTCTCAGACACTTTCTGGTATATTAAACCGGACCAGGAACGCTACACCCTCCTCCTCACTGTCACCTTTAAAACCCATGCTATTTCTCTGTCCCTGTAATTATGGGCTCCCACTCACCACCCCTTGCCTCCTCCCCTCCCCAACACCCCTATCCCACTCCTGTGGAACCATCGGTCCTGTCATTGTCTCCATGGGTTGCTTAGCCGGACTGTCTTATACAGACAGACAAAAAAAGAGAAAGAGCATATAGATAGTTCCGAGTCTAACTGATATCTTGATGCAGAGTAGTTGAGTATCTCTGTTAAATAGCAAGCAGGACTTGTTATAATCCCTCAGCCGGATTCCCTTTCAGGGTTCCATATCCTGGGACCTGCTTACCTAACAGCACTTAAATACTCTTTAATCCCCCAGCATTCGTGCCCGATAGGTGCACTCCCTGCAGGTCCCTATTGCTCTTCCTGCAGTCAGGGATGGAGCGTTCTAGTGCCCCCACCCCATTACACCTTTAGACTTTCAATGTGGCCCCCTTGTGTGCAACCCCCAACCAGTTCGGGTGAGGTGCCAAGTGCTGAATAGGGCATCTTTTCAGCTTGCTGCTATTTGGCGTGCCACGGAGCTTTTCTGTCAGGATTTCTGCAAACCACAAAGTTGGCCTGGCCACCTTTGCATCTTTTGACAAGTAGCCTGTGAGCTTGCTTTCTTAGGCATACATGTTAGAGGAAATATTTAGTTTCACTACCCTTGGTCACTAAGCTTGCTGTTGAAGAATGTCAACAGCTCTGCTTTAATGAAACAGTGGCATTCCTAAGAAACTCAGTATCAGAAATTGTGTTGTGAATATTTTGTTGCAGAAAGAGCTGCTCAGAACAAATTATTGTCTTGAAGAAAAGGTAACAATTTTAACTGTCATTGGAAGCAAAGATTAAAGTAGAGGATTAACTAAAGAACCATAATTGTTTCCTTATATAGCATTTAATTAACACTCAGATACACTTTTGGTCTCTTAACAATCACATTTTATCAAATTCATATTGGAAAGTCTGCACATTTTCAGAGTTTCTGATTGTAAGCAATAGGAAGTGACTGGCCATTCTGATTGTAAGCAATAGGAAGTGACTGGCCAGCATGGGCAGAAATGGGATTATCTTGGAGACTGGAGAACCTGGCTAAGAAAGTAGACCCCCGGAGAGACTGGGAGAGGATCTCCTCACGGAGCAGCCTGGCATGGGCCCTGTGAGCAGTGCCTGCGTTAACAACAGAACCGAGCACTCGTCTCTGATGTCTGAGAAACAGTCCGAGCAGGGGTTCCTGGCACACTGCGTCTTGTGTCATGAGCCGTGTCAGATCGCGTCAAAGGTGGGACCCTCACCTGGTTTGTTTCCCTCTCCAGATAACTTCTGTCTGGCACGGTACCCTTGTGAAGCTGCTGCGAAGCCTCTATTCACTAGCACTCCCTCAGACCTCCAAGGAGCTGCAGTCAGTGGAGCAGGAGGTCCGATGGCGGATGCGGAGGCTCAAATACAAGCATCTGGCCTTCCTGGCTGAGACCAGCACCGCCTACATGCAGGAGCGGGACTCCAAGGAGCTGCTGGCCGAGCTGCTGGTGAACCTGGAGAGACGCTGGGCGGAAATTGAAGATGGTCGCACATTGGTGGCCCTCATGATGAAAATTGGCCACCTCTCAGAACCACTGATGAACCATCTGGAAGACAAGGTACTAGACTGAAGAAGGGGGCCCACCTTGCCGCCTTCCCTCCCTCCCTCCAAGCTCTAGAACTACCTCTGGGGACGAGACAATGGGTCTGGGTCTGTTGTGTCCACTGGTCCAAGCCTTATGTGTGTGGTGAGAGCCGAGGCCTGGAAATACTGCCCCTGCGGGTACCAGCAAGGTCACACTTGTGGAGAAACTAAGCTAGCACCTGTGGAGAATGCTTCTCCATCTCTCTGGAGAGCTGAGAGACCAAAAGCTGAGGCGGCAGCAGGAATAACCTCTCTAACCTGCCAGCTTACTCCTCAGCGGCGTGCTGTGGACCGAATCTGAACTCTGGGAACTATGTTACCTCTTAACACATGCTACAGCCTCATCCCAAGCTTAGGGGGTGTGGATGGCAGGTCACTCCTTAAGTAACACAAAGCAATATTGGCCAGCACCAGGTCCTCGGATTGCCTAGGTTCTAATGAAAACTTTCGTAGAGATATTGTGCACTACACACACACACAGTTAACTTCATTTCCTGTTCTACCTGCATCAAGGGGTAGCTTGATGCTGCTGGCACTGTAAGTTCTGTAACATAAGCCCCAAGTTTTCTGTCCTCTGGCCTAGGGATGAGTAGGTTACAGACTCAGCCCTGGGTACAGGAGATACCTGGGATGTGGATAAGAAGCAGGCCCTGCACAGGTGGCCTGTGTTGAATAAGCTCAGGCCCAGTTGCTGTCTCACAGGGGCTACACTTGATGGGACCCTTGCCCCCAGCTCTTCCCTGGCATCTCAGGCAATCAAGCTGACTCCTGCGTACATGGCTGTGGTTAACAGTGCCTGGAGCTGATGGAACAATTTGGCCCTGATGATCTGCGAAAGGTGCTGTTGACTCTGGCAGTACAGAATCGTAGGTCGGTGCCTTTGCTGCGGGCCATCTCCTATCACCTGGTTCAGAAACCCTTTACCTTGACGAAAGGCATCTTGATGGACCTGGCTTATGCCTATGGTGAGCCCTTGACATTGACGGGGGTGGGAGTGGGGTAGGGCTTTCTGACTATACTTGACTGGGCAGGGCAGCTGTGCCAAATTCAGTGACTGCCCCACCCATGGCAGGCACTGGCTCAAAAGGCTGCTATAGAAACACTGTAACTCATGGCCCTGTTTTTCTGTCCTGAAACTCAGGGATAAATTTTGTTACAGACACCAAGCTTCTAGGTATTGAGAGACTAGTGTAATGATGAAGTGAGGTAGACTAGTGGGCCTTTTAGCTACCCCTGGTAAACTGTTGTGGTCTGCTCTGTCCAAAGGTAAATTCGGCTTCCATCAGACCCAGATATTCCAGCGATTGACAGCCGATCTGCTGCCCCATGTGCCCAGCTTGACACACAGTGAGGTGGCCCGATGCTGCAAATCCTTGGCCTTTGTCAAGTGTTTGAATCTGCCTCTGTTTGAAGCCATTGCCCAGGTGAGCTGAGGCGGCCGGGCTCCTGACTGGTGGGAGGACACAAGTACTGAGGGCTGACTCCCACTCAAAAGGAAACCGAACTACTGTGAAAAGGCTCAGTTATGGCAAATACATTTAACTCTCTGTGTATTTTTAAACAGTACTTACAGTGAGTAGTAGGAATGAACGAAAATGTATCTTATTAGTATTTATTTCCTCGCTTATCACACTGAACGTCATAAACATACCCCTCTGTCTTTGGATCACTGTAGCATGTGACAACAGTTCTGGAGCCCTCTGTGGACAGGGTCTGAAAGGCCTGGTGTGATAAAACATGTACATTGAGGTTGAGAGTCCCCTTCCTCTGTTCCTTAAAGCAGCCCCTCCTGAAAGTAACAATTGTGGGGGTTGTACAAATGGGTATCTGTTCCTGCAGTGTGTTGCTGACTCTCGCTGAGAGGGAGACAGAGCTAGGGCACCTGAGAGCAAAGACTCAGTGTTTCTGAGCACCCCATAATATCATGTGCCAGTAAATGCTACCTGGGTGAATGTTAATCTGACATGCAACACACAGGCTTGGTTTAAGTTAGCTTCCTAGCGAGGAGCACATGGGACCTGGTGGGACGGCCGAGGTGCTGACAGCCCGCCCAGGCTGCTCCACCTTGAAACAGGATAGACCATACGTGAGAAAGTCCTCAGCATGGAGCCATTTTTCTTTCTCCTTTGCCTTCCTGACCCTGACCGTAGCACATCTTGAACAAAGCCCAGGACATCACCCTGCTGCATCTGTGCAATGTGGTCCTAGCTTTCGCGCGTCTGAACTTCCATCCGGAACAGGAAGATCAGTTCTTCAGTCTGGTACCGTGTCTTTGCTTACCTTTTCCTGTTCCTTAGCTTCCTTCCTGCCAGCGTCTTGAGGGCAGCTGTGGGAGTATGTGGGAGGGGAGAGAGGGCTCACTAGAGCTGATGGTGATGACACAACTCATTTTAAAAGTGATTTAACCATGGGGGTGGGGAGGTAGAGAAAATGTTCTAAAATTGAATGTGGTAATGATTGTTTACCTCTTCTTGATATGATTGCACTATTGAATTGTGTGATGTGTGGATTAAGTGTCAATAAAACTGTTTTTTTTTTAAAATGGTCTTGGGAGCCCCGCATGCATAAATCCAGACTTACCAGATATGTAGGTTAAAGGTAATGACAGGCCAGGAAGGGCAAGGCCAGATCTGCCTGTGAGGGAAAATTGGGCTGGTCAGGGTTGGAGTATCTTTTGTCTAAAGCTTTGATGATCCGCTTCCAAGACACACCAGGAAAATGCTCCGGTCCTGTGTGTGCTCTGGGGAAGAGCACTGTTGGTGAGGGGTGTGTGCGGGTCTGGCGCAATTCCTCGAAGCGACCAGTAGTGGGTGTACTATACTGGCCGTCCCTGTGCCCATCTCCCTGCAGCATTCTTTACCATCTGCTGCTGCTTGCTAAACTCTGGTTCCTCTCAGAGACTGCTCTGCCCTTGCCCCAGGTACCCACCTAGGGGAAATTATTGGTGAAGTGGTTTTGTGGCTTAGGCCCCTGCTGATAATGAGATTAGGAAAGCCTAGCTAAATGTCTGCACCAGACAGCACTGCCTTGTTTTCTGGATTGGGGAAGGAGCCACTGCTCCAAGCGTGTGGAAGAGTTCTCGAACCTCCCCTCCTAGAGGTGCTCTAATCCACACATGCATGCGCACACACAGGTGCCAGTTGACCGGGGCACTGCCTCTCCCAGCTAACTGCCAACCCTCTGGCCTCTGTGTAACTATTTTAAGGTAATGCTGACTGTGGTCTTCAGGACATTTGCAGACCCCTGAGCAGAGTCTGCTTTCCTCACCCCTACCCTGCCATTAGGTGCACAAGAAGCTTGCATCAGAACTGGCAGGCCTGAGTCCTGCTCTGCAGGTAGATGTGGTGTGGGCCTTGTGTGTGCTGCAGCAGGTCCAGGAAACAGAGCTGCGAACTGTCCTCTGTTCCGGATTGTACCCCCAGCTTCTAGGTAAGTTGAGGAGAAGCGTGTTCGGGAGCATAACTCTTCTCCTTCGTGCTGTGAGCTCCTGCCACCAGAAAAGCGGGTCTGTGAGGCTCGGCTAATAGAAAAATGAGAGACTGTCAGGGCTCCCCTTCAAGGTGTATTCCCTCTCCCTCTCCCTGGAAGGAATCAACCACCTGACCCAATCCGGGTGGGTCTTGGGCTCTGAGGTGCTGCTGCCCCTCCTACTTGGGCCCTCCTCCGCTTCTACGCCCAGGGTCCTTGAAATTGCAGCAATGTGGTGTGGTGGGCAATTCTAACCATTCATTTTCTCACTCTTATCCGGCCCCTTAGATGGCAAGACTCCTAAGGATCAGAATACCTTTCAGAAGCTTCTGCACATCAACGCCACTGCCCAGCTGGAACACCCCGAGTACACGAGCCCCCTTTTGCCAGACTTGGCCTTGGTTCCCAAGTCCACAGCCCTTGACAAGAAGGTGACCCCCCTGCAGAAGGAGCTTCAGGAGACCCTAAAGGGGCTGCTGGGTAGTGCCGACAAGGGCTGCTTTGAAGTAGACACACAGTATGGCTGGGTTCTGGGTAAGGACTCCCATCTGGTTGGTTTAGGGGCTCATTCTCCCTGAGATTCCCAGCCCTACCATCCCCAAGGGGGCAGACTCAGCCCGGGGCCTCACCCCTCTTCCTATGTTGTTACAACAGGGAAGATGCAGCCCATCCACTGGCTCCCCCTTACTGGGCTCTCGTAGGCCAGGTGACTGGGACCTCTATGGCTGTTGTGCCCATGATCACATTGCATCTCCCTGGTCTCGGCCCACCCGTGGGAAGCTAGGGCAGGGAAGGCTTTCTCCCAGCTGTTCACCAAGTGGGTTGGATTCCCTTCAGATGCTGAGGTGCTGCTGGACACTGAAGGCCAGTTTCTTACCCTGAGGGACTTTGCTGCTCCTCATCTTGCCCAGTCACCAAGGAGCCAGCCACTGCCCTCTGGAGCTAAGAGGTAGGTGGTCAGAGACCCCTGCTTGTGGACCCCATGAGGGCCATGGCAGCTCTGCTGCTCTGAGAGGATGAGGCGAGCAGTCATCGGTGCCTTCCTCCTCTTCCCAGGCTGGCCTTCCTGAGATGGGAATTCTCCAACTTCAATAGCCGGAGCAAAGACTTACTGGGTCGCTTCTTCATGAAGCGACGCCACATGCTGGCTGCTGGTTTCCTGGTCATCGATGTGAGTACCTGAGGGAGCAGGGTCTGGGTGAGCATTACTGCAGTGAGAGGAGCTCGCTCAGGCTGGGTGCAGGCACTGGCAGATGCCCAGCCCAACCCACTCATGTTGCTAGCAGCTGAGCCTTTCTTTGATGACTTCATGTCTCATCCCCTCTTCCTCAGTCTGGGCTTCAAGCACAAGCCTGGTCACCAGTCTTTCTCTTACCAAGATTATGGTCAGGACAGTGCTCAGACTGAAAGCATTCTGTCTTCTAAGGTAGGCAGTCCGGAGGCTCCTCATTTACAGATGGGAGAGAGGCTCAGAAGGGTCACAGCTCTTCAATAATACAGTGGCGCTTCAAGTCCAGTTCGTTTGTCTCTATGTCTCAGCTCTTGGGAAAGGTGAAATTGGCCAGACCTCTGTGTGGCTGACACAGAACTTACTGCGATCTGATCCAGGAGTCAAAGGACAGACTCGTTCATAAGTAATGTGCTAGAGCCGCCACCTCTCTCCACTGGGGGCCTATGCCAGCATCAGCACCCTGCTGTAAGTGTGCTTTCTACCAAGTCTTCAAGTGACATTGGGTTTGTTGTTCTTATTTTATAACCTTTAAAACTTCAAACACCTTTCATTGTCCCTCTGTGCTGTGTAGTGTGCTGCTGTGTAGCACTCACCTAGTCAGGGGCTTCCCACCGTCAGCTTATTCAAGCTCAATAGCTGCGGTCCTTCAGTGCTTGGAGACTAAGGGCCATGGCTTACAGTCCCCCAGTAAGCGCTGATTGTGAAAAGATCCGGGGGAAGAGGAGCAAGTGGGGCTCCTGGTGGGGGAGTAGGCGGTCAGTGGGGAATCCCAGCCTGCTCCTTCCTGTCTCCTATCAGGTTCCTTACTATGAGTGGCTGGACCTCAAGTCTGAATGGCAGAAAGGCGCCTACCTCAAGGACAAGATGCGCAAAGCTGTGGCAGAGGACCTGGCCAAATGACCCCATCCCCTCAGCATGGACTGCATGCCAGCACTTCATTGTGGTTTCCTCAAGCCTAGCCATAGGCGCTGGGCCCGGGGAAAAGATCTCCCTTCAGGCTGAGCCTTCATAGTACAGGACTTTGGCCAGAGTGGAGATTTGGCCAGCAGCTCTAAGGGGGTGGATTTTCCTCAAGTGAATAATAAATGTTTAATTTTGGTGTTCCCCACCAAAAGGGTACCTTGTTATTGTCACAGTCTCCTGTTTGTGTTCCCTACCCGTGTGCTCTGGAAGGCAGGGAGTGGCATACGTGGCTCTGCCCTGTCCTCACCTCACCCTCTGGATTCAACAACAGGACCTGTTTGTTGTAGAGACCAGGAGCCCAGGAAGGACAGCCAGAGCGCAAGAGGTGGGCCTTTACTTTTATTAAAACTGAAAACCTCGTGCACCATCATCAAGTTGATTCTGACTCAGCAACACTGCAGGACAGGGTCATCCTGCTGCATGGCTTTCCCAGATTACAGCCCTCTATGGGAGTAGAAAGCTTTGCCTTTCTCCCTCGGAGTGGCTCGTGGTTTTGAACTGCTTTAGCAGCCTAAAGCGTGACCACTACGCCACCAGGGCTCCTTACTCACTGTAGGGACCCAGAATCGAGCTCAGACTCAAGACATCTTCCTGACGCCATATCACTCCTGCCCAAGATGTACCAGTTTCCGTCGTTTTCTGCTGCCTTGTGGCTTGTGGCAGTCCTAACCAGAGACAAGTGAAGACCCTCAGGGAAGCAGTGACGGCTGTTGTGAATGGGGTGGTCACTGAACCATTGTGGTCTTGGGAAAATCCTTATCTGTTGCCCCTCAGAGGGGAATCAGTTACAGGAAACTTGAAGACCTGTGGTGACAGATACACAAAGGCCAAGTGTTTGGGAAGCAACTGATTCTGGGATTGGGAAGACAAGCAGGCACTCGGCTGGCCCTCGTAACTGACAGACCAGAGATGGTGAACATGGTGTCGTAATGATCTACCTGACAACCCATGGTCTACCAGTGGGACCAGAGGCCTTCGGATGCTGAAAAGAAAGTGAAAGATGCTTTCCCTCCTTTTCAGGCTCATCAAAAGTTCTCTAAATGGCCATTGTTAAAGGGGATCTAGGAACTGAAGTTTGACTCCAATACAAACTGGAACATCACACTGGGATAGAGCTGAGTATCAAAGGGACATGTGGCAGTCTCCAGTTTGCCAGCTGGGAGTTTATTGTTCTAAGGGGACCATAGAAGAAGTCCTTACACCTTGCTATCACGCAAGCGTTTTGAGTAGCTCTGTGCTTGTGGATGAGCGGCATCAGGGTAGAGTGGTTGTTTGCATAGATGGTGGCCTGAAGGAGGTAACTAAACTGAGCAGGATAGGGAAAGGAACGGTATCCCACACTGAAGAGCTAACCTAGATGACGGCTCAGGCCAGAAACAGTGTAGGGAACCAGGGGCACCTGGGTTCTGAAGTCTTGAGTGCTGTGTCCCAAGGAGCTGAGAGAAGGACATCCTTAGTCACACTTAGAAAACAAAAGCTTATCTCCACTGTAGGACTGCCGACTTTAATCCAGTGTTGAAATAATTGTGAACAGTACTGTTTGTCACTGTTCATTGTTAACTACAAGCTCCTTGTTTATAGTTACATTTTTAGTACAAGGATAAGTCAAAGTATTGCTACTAGCATTACAAATATGTGTTGAAAATGTAGAAGATGGCACCCATGTAGAGTCACACGCTCTGTGCTGCCATTGTCAGATCAGAAAATCAAGAGAACGTGTCTGCTAGCTGAAAAGCCAGAGCAGGCCTGGGGTCCAGATCCAGAGATCTGGAGCAGACTGGAAATCCGAGCAGAGCTCTGCTCCTCTTGGCTGTGTATACTGAGCTAAGTCCGTTTCCGAGGACATCCTCAGCCCATGGCAGCGAAGTCAAACTGCCCGACTTCGCATCCCCTTCCAATCCCAAGCATCAGAATTACAACCCTGAAGGGTAGGGGATGTGAAGGGGGAGCTAATAGCATGGATGACTATAACCACACACAAGGAAAGTGAACAACAGAACCGTATGTGAATGGATGTATTGGATGGTGTCAGATGTGGCAAAACGAATGAATGAATAAGACAGTAAAAGTTCCT